TTTTTTTTTTTTTTTTTTTTTTTTTTTTTTTTTTTTTTTTTTTTTTTTGCTCTTACCCTCTTGTTTGACTTTTACTAAACTTTTAAACGAAAACAAACCTTCAGCATTTAAGTTTATAACAACATGTATGAGGTAGAGAGTTATTGTCTATGCCATTTTATTCAGTGAAGAGATCAAACCTAGCCACAGGTTCATGGGTTTGAGTCAATCTTTATGGGCGACATGTGGGTTCAGAGGCAAAATTGTACATGAAGATTCCAATAATCTTTTAAGGGCACATGGTGCGTGTCCAACCAAGGAATAATAACTTGTATGAGGCTAAAAGACAAGGACTTCATGGCTCTATGAACCAAAAATGTCTCTAGGTTGGATGTCTAATGGGAAGACCTAACATGGATAGACCATAGAAAAAAATAAATAAATAAAAGGATTCTTGGAGGCGATCTTAAAAACTCGAGATGGGCACCCTTAGCATGGAAACATAAATTACCCCACAAAAGTACAATGACGAAGAGTTGTATTCAAGGATGTGTATGATATTAAGTATATGACCATGGATGAAACAGTTGAGGTCGATACAAAAATTTGAGGGGTAATGTTAGGGTCGCACAACAACGCACAAGCTTGATCTAGATAAACACAAAGAACAGGATAGAGAAAAGTGCAAGGAGAACTCTAGCTAAAAGGATTTTTTTTTATTGATGACTTCACGTATGTACAGTAAGAGAGAATTACAGAGAATACAGAAAGTACATTTTCAAAGCTCTACGGGACGGGATATATATATGGTTTAGTTTACTATATATCGCTTTACCAGATTTAACCATCTACTATATATAGCTATTTACGATAGCTTTACCGGATATAGCTTTACTATATATAGTTTTACCATATATAGCTTTACCATATATAGTTTTACCAAATATAGTTTTACTGGATATAGTTTTACGGGATATAACAGTTGACTAAGCTATAAATAAGAGAGCAGACTCCATAACCTAACAATTCTCCCACTTGGAGACTGATCCTACACCATACCAATTAAGGCTAGAAACACATAAGAATCAGTGTATTTCTTGAGGTAGCAACACTGATTCTTTTCACTCCTGTGGAAACCACTCTTGCACATGAAGGAGTCAAACTCTTCTGGTTGTTGCATATAGATCTCTTTATCTAGATCTTCATGCAAAAACGCCGTTTTTACATCCATTTGCTCAAGGTGAAAATTCTCCGATGCAACAATACTCAGCAGAATTCGAAAGTAGTTAATTTCATCACTGGAGAAAATATCTCAGCATAATCAATGTCTTTTCTTTGTGAATATCCTTTAACTACTAACCGAGCCTTAAACCAGATTCTGAATATCCGCCATCTGGTTGAACCTTGATTCTGAACACCCATTTGTTCAACAGAGCTCTCTTTCTATTAGGCAACTCAGTCAGCACTCACGTATTATTCTTTTCAAGTGAGCTCATCTCATCATCCATGACTTGCTCTCACTTGGTTGAATCTTCCACTTGTAGGGCCTCATCAAAGGACTCTGGTTCTCCTTCGTCAGTCAGCAACAGATAAGTAATGAGGCTGAATATCTATCTGGTGCTCTGATAGTTATGGATGATCTTTTCAATACCTGCTCAGGTGCAACTTGCTCCACGTCTGGTTCTTCAGCAATAGGATCAGGAGTTTCTTGAGCTTCGGTTGTAACATCACTGCGTGAATTTTCCTGCCACTCAAGTTCAACTCCCACTTTCTTTGTAGTCTCAGAGTTTATCTTCTCTCTATCCTTGTACATGGCATTTTCATCAAAGGTCACATCGCAGTGTCTTAGGATTTTCATATTTTTCTCATCCCAAAACCTGTACCCGAACATGTCAGAGCCATAGCCTATGAAGTAGCATTTCACAGCCTTAGCATCAAGCTTATCTCTCTTCTCTGGATCAACATGAACATACGCAGTACAACCAAAAGTTCTCAAGTGAGAGTACTTGAGTTCTTTTCCTGTCCATACTTCTTCGGACAATTGAACTTCAAGGGTACTGACAGCCCTCTATTAATCAAATATGTTGTTGTGTTCACAGCATTAGCCAAGAATGTCTTTGGTAGTCCAGAGTGAATCATCATGCTTCTTGCTCGCTCATTCAATGTTCTATTCATCCTTTTTGCAATACCATTTTGTCTCGCCTTACCGGGAATTGTTCTTATTAATCTAATTTCCTCAGCTACAAAAAAAGTTATAAACTCTGATATGTTGTACTCTCCTCCATTGTTAGACCTCAGGCATTTGATCTTCAAGCCACTCTGATTTTCAACTTCAGCTTTCCACTTCTTGAAGGTAGTAAACACATTTGACTTGTGTTTCATAAAGTAAACTCATACCTTCCTGCTAAAGTCATCGATGAAGGTGACGTAGTACCTTGATCCACCAAGTGATAAAACTGGAGATGGTCCCCAGATGTCTGTATGAACCATCTCCAACCGCACTTTCTTCGGTTCTCTGGCAGCCTTTGTGAAATAACTCGTTTCTATTTGCCCATAACACAGCTCTCACAAAGACCCATATCAACAGATTTTAAGCTTTCTAAAGCTCCTTTCGCAGTCAACATCTTCATTCCTTTGACGCTCATATGTCCAAGTCTATTGTGCCATAGACTTGAATTGGAAGCACTCTCAGCAGCAGCAGTCATATTTATACACTCTACAGTAGTGTATAAGGTTCCAGATTTTTTTCCACGTGCAACAACCATGGCGTCCTTCACAATCTTCCATGAATTCTTTCCAAACTCTGTCGTATAGACTGTGCTATCCAACTGACCAATAAAGACCAAGTTCTTCTTGAGACCAGGAATGTATCGGACATCTTGTAATGTCCACTGATTTCCTACTAGAGTTTGTATGGAGACATCTCCCTCCCTTCAATCTCCAAGGTTTTGTTGTCGGCAAGATACTTGGAGACGAATGGAACGATGCACCTGAATCCAAAATCCAGGATTCAGCTGGGCTGTCCACACTAAGTATTAAAACGTCCTCAGTGTCTTCTGTTGTATATATAGAATCATCATCATCTTCAGATTTATGATTCTGCTTCTTCTTCAGTTTTGTACAATCTGTCCGAAAGTGTCCTTTTCCCCCATAGCTCCAACACGTTACATTGGGTTTGTTTGGAGATTTTTCCCGATTCTTTGATTTTGATCGCCCATGTTTGTTTGAGCTCTTTGATTTACTTCTTCCCCTTCGATCAACACTGAGAGCATTGCTTGATGAATCTCCAGTTTCTCGTTTGCGAATACTTTCGCTGAGAACTACATCTCTAATTTCATCAAACTTCAGTTTATCAGATCCTCGGGAACTACTGATTGCGGCAACAACAGTATTCCATGACTCGGGTAAGGATGACATCAAAATCAACGCTTTAATTTCATCTTCGAAATTAATTTCCACCGAACTTAGATGACTTATGATCATATTGAATTCATTTATATGATCAGCAACAGATCCACTTTCAGACATCAGTAGATTGAACAATCTCCGCATCAAATACACCTTGTTCATAGCCAACGGTTTTTCATACATATTTGACAGTGTCTTCAATAGATCTGACGTTGTCTTCTCCTTGATAATGTTAAACGCCACGTTTTTGGATAGCGTCAACCAGATCAGCCCCAAGGCTTGTCGATCCTTGAGCTTCCACTGCTCCGTGGTCATGGTATTCGGCTTCACCCCCAACAGAGGTTCGTTAAGATCTTTCTGGTACAGATAATCTTCAATCTGCATCTTCCAGAAACCGAAATCGGATCCATCAAACTTCTCAATTCCAATCTTTGAACTTTCCATCTTCACAGATCATGGTGAGTTTCTCCTAGCTCTG